TTAGCAAGCAAGTTTCACACTTGTGGGTTGTTGCTGCACCTGTCAGCTTCAGTCTCTTAACTCCTTCCTCCTTTTGCAGTTGCTGCAGTGCGGGCATTGCAATGTGCCCGAGGTGACGGTGAGCTGTCATCCAGTCTGTTTCACCGCTCCTTGCTGAAACCTTCATCTCATCTGCAGCTACAGCATTGCACTCCCCCTCGGATCCACCTTCCTTGCCCCATGTCATCACAGGAAGCTGCCACATGGAGTTGCAGATGTCACGGCTCTCGTGAAGGTCCCACAGCACCCGCTTTCCCAGCTGCCCTGTGAATGTCTTGGCTCCTTCGGTGGAGGTGCTGACCCCGCACTTGCCTAGTTTCCTGAGGGAGATAAGGTTAGCTTTAATAGCAGGGACAAGAAGCACGTCACTTAGCACCACTGGTTTGCCATCGGCTCCTTTGAATGCAGCACGTCCCACCCCCGTCACCTTGAGAGCGTGCCCGGATGCCGACTTCACCTTCGCAATCGGTGCAGTCCCCACTTTGTCAAGGAGGTCGGCCCTTGGAGTCATGGTCCATGCCGCTCCTGTATCCAGAATCCACGTGTTGAGCGGGTGCAGTGCAGCTCCAGCATGGGCAGCCACTGCGTCCTTATCCGGCTCTCCAACGTGGAAGAACTAACCGGCTTCCCTCTCTTCCTGTTCGGCCGGTTCATCATCGGCAACAGCTCCGGCGCCGCTCCCATCTTGTGACCTGTTGGAGGGGGTCCACCAGGAGGGTTTAGTTCTGCATTTAACCACGGGTGACCCACCTTCTCACAATACCAACACTTGCCCTCCATTCTCCCGGGTCCCCTTCCTCCCCCTCTGCCACCTCGGCCTCCACCACGTCCTGCTCCTCTACCGCCTTGCTGGTTGGAGGACTCCTCCTCCTTAGACGCCCCTCTCCCAGCACCTTGCCATTTTTTGCCTCTACCCCTTTTTCCTCCTTGCATGGCGTAGCTGCTGCTCCCCTCTTCACCTCCCCTCAGTTGGCGCCTCCTGAAGTCCTCCTCGAGAATCTTGGTGCGAATCCACTCCAAGGTCCAGGAGCTCTGGTTTTGAGGAAGACTCAGGCCACTTGTGAAGATCATCCATGACTCCGGCAGCAGCGACAGCATCTTCATACACTTGGTTTGTTCGGGGTAGACAATTCCAGCGATGGCGAGCTTGGCGTAGAGGTCTCTCAGCTTGTCAAGGACGGGTTGGACGGGTTCTCCTTTACTGAGGCGAAGGGTGGAGAGCTCCCTCTCCAGCATGAGGGTAGCTACAACTAATGTGGGGGCATGCAGATCCTTGAGCACTCTCCATGCCTTCGGTCCACACTCGTCCTCCGGGAGGAGGTGCATGATGTGTTGGCGTTGGGCGAGATCCAAACTCAGGGACAGAATGTAGTACCCGGCAGATGAGCGCTCGTCCCATTCGTTCTGCAGCTCCGGGGTACTAGGTCGTTCCTCGGTTCCTATCATCAGCTTCAAAAGGCCTATCTGCCGAAAGTACAGCTGCATCTTCAAGGACCAGTCATCATAGCCTTCTCCACTGAACTTGTCGACTGAGAAGTTCTTCAGCACTTCCCTTAGTAGCAGGCCCTGGTTTGTCCGGGCTATCCTTGGCGCGGAGACACCAGATTCCTGGCTGCCACTACTTGTAGGGGCTGAGTTCCCTTCTTCTCCAGGCGACCCCATCGATGGATACATTGAGAATGACTAAGGAGCAGCTCTGATACCACGTGTTAACTCTTATTACTATGCGGAAGCGATTAACTCAATGCCACAAACATAAACTAGGCAACACTTAACATCAATTGTGAACCAAGTGAGTAGTTATGCCAAGCTTATCTTGTAGAGTGAGTATCCTGGTTGAGCAGGGTTTCGGCAGTACTTCGTTGTGTATCTACTCTCGTCAATACGTAGTAGTAGATTGTAAGCTTGAAATCATGAAAGCATTGTTGTTGAAAGCAAATACAAGCACACATATAAGAGAGGTCCTAGGTATGCAAAGGAAAACACACAAAACAGTTGTCTAACTGTCGTCCAGGTCTTCGCTTTGCTGTCATTGAAAAACGGTTGTAAAACTGATTTAGAACTTGGCTTGATTTGCCGCTGTAGAATAACTGTCTTCGACCTGCATTGCTGCCAAATTCTCCTGCTGACTCTCCTCGCGAACATTCATGTTTACTCGTGTGCGATCATGAACGCCCGTGTGAGATTCCCGTTTTTCAGTTACAAACGGACTTTACCGTTTTGTACCTCTATCGAAATAATGACGCAAAGCAGCGCGACTTTCTGGCGAATTTTCCTGCTCGCCGAGTCAACGCGAAAATTCCGTTAGTCAACTGCGAAGTCTCGTGTGCCCCTCATGCCCCACGTGCCCCTCATCACGACCGAGATATTTCTCGGTCGTGCAGGACAAGACGATCGCTGACGCGATCGTGCGTTGTCCTGCGCGTGACGGAGCGATCATGTCGCTCCGTCCTGTATCGATCGTGCGCACTGTGCACGATCGAAACAGTGGCGACACACGCGCATGTTTTATGGTGCCACACGCGCGTGTGTCAGGACCCCACGCGTGGGTCCTGACCTTCGCGCCCTTGATTTACGCGAAAAAAAGTCAAAGGGCCCGGTCAAAGTCTCGAGCCCCACTTCTCCCCGACACACTCGAAACTCACAACCAACCTTCATGAAAAAACTAGACATTCATGAAACACAGAACATTCATGAAACACATAACTTTCATGAACGCACATGTTTGTCGATGAAAACAAACATGAGCGGACATGAGCCGACATGAACGAACATGAGCCGACATGAACGAATATGACTCGTCATGATCCGTCACGACCGATCATGATCCCACAGCAACAACACACGAAATGAAATGAGAAAACGAATGCACACATAACATACACAAAATGCATAACATCATGCAGGCGGCTGGTTGCAGTGCAAAAATAGTATTTTGCACCCAACACATTTTGGATGTTAGGGATTTTTTTATGTCATTTATTATTCCGGTTTACATCAACCATTGTTCAGCAACCTACCAACAAGCAGTCTTAGCACCAGGTCACATAGCCTACGCACTGCCGGGCCTTGCAAGCGCCCGGTGGGCAAGGACGACCTCTCCAAGGCCGCCATCGTCGATGAGGAACTTGTTCGGGAAGACGAACGCACCCTGTGCCGAATCGTGGGGGATCCTCCGCTCCACGACAGCAAAGTGGATCATCTGTTTGACCTTTTTTCGCACCACTCCTGGTAGTTTGGCCTGTTTTGTTCTGGCTGGCTACTAATTCGCTTGCGACATTTATCCTGCAGAAGGGGCCATTCGATGTGCAATGTGGTGTAGGGTTGGGTGGATGGTTGGTGACGAGGGGGGGTTACGGGTGAAGGAGCCAACTGAAAGCGGTGATTTAGTCGTCACTATCTACATCATTGCAAAGGCTTAAGCGACCAGGTATTTAGCTGAAGTATAGGCAAGGGGTTAAGGGGATGACGCATGGGGGTACAAACTAATATCTACATCCTTACCAAAAACAGGCCCCATGCCACCATGCGGCTCTTGAACTTGGTGAACACGACCCCGCCCCTCTTGAAGGAGACCTTGAACGCATAAGCGAACAAAGGGTTGCTGAAGGGCGTCCCGATGGCCTCGTCAAAGTGCCTATTGAGGGCCCACTGTTCTGCAGGGTGGCAGGGAGGGTATGGGATGGAAAGGGGGTGTACAGAAATCAAGTGGGGGGATGAGAGTCAGGGTGAGCCACATCGCACGGTGATATGTAGGTGCCAACTGGCATATGGTTGGGCATATGGTGTTTTCAAGGTGCACATACCATCTCCGTACTCCGCTAGGAGTTGCTCGTCGTCGAACCACCTTGTTGCGTGTAGCTCAGTGGGCAGGCTATCCACGAGATGGCTGTAGTCGGCAAGGCCCATGCCGGTGCATGCTGCTAGCCTGAGGGTGGAGTTGATGGTTGACCTTGTTGACGAAATCTGGTGGTTGAAGACTCCCATGGTTGACTTGCCATTGTGCAACCACAGCAGCTTCATTGTCTCGAGCCCTTCTGCAGACAAGTGGACAGCGAACACTTCGAACACTTCCTCCGGTGCAGGGTAGTACTGGATTTTTTCTGGGGGGTTCAGAAACATGAGCTGAGAGCACACTAAGTAGGCTTTGTTCTGCGCAGGGGTGTAGGGTATACAACACGACATGGGAGAGAGAAACCATCAGTTATGACTGTGGCCGTGTGACCCCAGGATGGGCTATGTGAACTTGCCACGTCACACCCTCCCGCATCCACCACGTCCACCAGCAACCAGCCCCACTTGCCACATCACACCCACCCACCCCATGCCACGTCACCCCCCACCCACCTGACACGCGTCACCTCGTCACGCGCCGCTCCCGTGTACCCTTCGAAACCACCACGTCAGCCCCAACCCTCACATTCTGCCACGTCACACCCTCCTCCGTCCGCCACGTCCACCAACAACCCGCCCCACCTGCCATGTCACAACCACCCACCCCATGCCACGTCACCCCCCACCCACCTGACACGCGTCGCGTCGTCACGCGCCGCTCCCGTGTACCCTTCCAAGCCGCCATGTCAGCCCCAACCCCGCCCTGGTTGCCACGTCAACCCCAACCCGCCCCATCTGACCCGTCACATACCGGGAATGGGTTTGTCTCCTGCAACACTAGCAATCGTGCCTTGTCCACGGCACTCATCGGCGGCGGGGTACCAGCCCTAGGCACGGCTGCGGAACCCCCGGCATAACTGGCAAGTACTCCACGACGCAGGCTGAGCTGAGCAAACATGGCATACATCTCAGACCGCAGCGCCTGGAACTCCTCCCGTGTAACAAACTGCTCGTGCTCCGCACTTTCACCTAGGGCACCCATGAGCGGAGGAAAAGGGTGTGAAGAATCCCCCCTCTGTCCAAGGGGATCAACGTCTTCTGCAGCCGTCCCGTGTGCCCTCACACTATCACGCTGGCGGGAAAAGGGGAGCTCAGGGAAAGGATTGGCAGAAGTGCTTGGCTGATGCCCGCGCGAAGGACCAGAGAGGGGGGAGACCGCCCTGCCCCGGACAGGAGAAGCGTGGAATTGCCAAAATGGGTATGAGGGTGAGGTGAGTGGGGAGTGCGTGATGTGGCCTGGTGGAGGGGAGTCAGATTCCTCTCCTCTTGGTGCGCCGGGTGCTGTCGCATCGACTTTGCTCGGGCCGGAGTATGGCGTGTAGAACCTTGGGGCTCCTGTGGATAGCGGTGTAACACTCGCTCTTCCGGCCTTCTTCGTTAGTTGCATCCGTTGCACGCTTACCGGCGGCCCAATGTCTGTAACGCAAGGGGCTGGGTTTTAGAGGGAGCAGGATCACAAAATTAGAGTCGATTTGTTTCAATACAGGGGCACACATGCATGCATAAGATCAACGATTTGAATTTAAGTCGGGTTTAGAAGGGTACTATTTTGTAACAAGAGGCTTTACCTTGCTTTGCAGATTCGTCGACCTTCCCCTTCCCTGCAGGGGAGAAACAATTTGAAGAATGGTGTTATTTGGCACGGTTGAGCAGAGAGTACAACAGGGTTGCCATGTGTATTGGCCACAGTGCTCACCTTTCTGCTGTCCCTTCGATTTTTTTGCTGCCTGTGCCTTCTCGTTGCCACCTTTCCGCGGGGTGCTGTGGCGGCCGCTGCGACGTTTACCGGCAGGTTTTTTCTTGCCGGTACCCACTGGAACCCCTTTGGCACGGCCACCCTTTCCTTCTCCATCCCCTTTTGCTCCCTCGCTCCCTTGCTTTTTACCACCCCCTTCACTTTCGACCTTCACCTTACACGCCTTCGGTTTGCCCGCTGCTTCGCCGCGCGGGGCGTCAACTGCCCCACGTTTTCGGGAATGGCGAGTCCAGCCCCCCACCTTCCCTGTACCATCCACCAGTCTACCTCGCCCTCTCCGTCCCTTCACTCCCGCCTCATCCTCCTCCTCCTCCTCCTCCTCCTCCTCCTCATCCTCCTCATCCTCCTCCTCATCGTCCCCCTCCTCCTCCTCCTCCTCCTCCTCCTCCTCCTCCTCCTCCTCCTCATCCTCATCCTCCTCCTCCTCATCCTCCTCCTCCTCCTCCTCCTCCTCCTCCTCCTCCTCCTCCTCCTCATCTTCGTCGCCCCCCTCCTCGTCCTCCTCCTCCTCCTCCTCCTCCTCCTCTTCATCCTCCTCGCCATCATTCCCATCTTTTCATTCTCCCTAACATCCGCGTCCTCCTCCTCCGCATCCTCTTCATCCTCCTCTTCTTCCTCATCCTCCTCCTCATCCTCCTCCTCCTCCTCCGCATCACCAGGGTCTTCATCGCCCCGTTTTCGGCCTCATCCCCATCGCTGCTTTCTTGCCCCTCCTTCCGCCGGATGTTTCTCTTGCTGCGGGTCGGCCCTTCTGGTGCAATGCATGACCCGTTGCCTTGCCACATGCTTCCCTGGCGCCTCGTGTTGTCCCAACTTCCGTGCCACCGGCGTCGTCAACACTGCCTGTCGTCTGCCGCCTCTTCGCCCGCGTGGTGATGTCCCCGGGCACTGCGGTGTCATAATCGTCCTCCCCATCGCTCTTCCTCTGCCTACGCCTCCCACGTCCACCAGATGGAGGAGAGCCACCGACGTCAGCAATGCTGTGTTTAGGATCCTCCATCGAATCGTGCTCCCCCGCCTTGTCCTTATCCAGCACGGCAGCAAACATTTCGACCACGGTCGGCGGGAGCAGCGTCAGATGGTGTTGCGATGCCTCCGCCTCAGACTCTTGGGTTGCGGCCTGCTCGGCGCGGGGATCGTCTCCGTGGTTTCCCCATGTCGTTGATCCCTCTCTCTCCGCCGACGGGACTGCAAGACTCACGCTCCCTCGCCCCGGATCTTCTTTGCCGCCACTGGTACCTTCGTTAGTCGGACTGGGCTCGGTTCCAGTAGAGGCAACATCCACATCTTTGTTCACTGTAGAAACACGCTTGCGTGGCGTTGGTTGCTTCCCCTTGTCTTGCGCCTTCTTGCCAGACTTCTCTTGACCAAGCGCGGCCTTTTTTGCCGCCACCTTTTTGGGCCCAATGCCACGCGCGACGGACGCATTAGTTTTTTTAGCGCCGCCACCACCCTCCTTATCGATCTGTTGAGACAGCCTCCTTGTCGCGCGGCTTCCCGCCTGTTCCTCCTCCTTTGCTTGTTGACGTGTTGCACGTGTCATGGTTGTTGTAGGAATGCTAATTTCTACCACGCGGAACGGTTGAGCCGGTTTCCAAGGGGTACCGCAACTGAATCCCACGAAGGGATAATTGACGGTCTATCACTGTTATCTTTCTCTGAAAAGCTCCGCTTCAGCTGAAACTGAAACAGTAGCCACTAAGCAGAAAGCTACGGCCCATGACTTAGTATACTGGTGAGTCAGGTGCGATCTGGAAACGCCTGTGTCAAACAGCGAGCAGCGTCGAAGTATTGGTGCAGAGGGTGACGGAAGCAGGTGGGTGGGGCATGAGGGTGGTTGGGGTGGGTTGCGAGACTAGGGAGATTACTGTAACCCTATTAGGCTATATCGGACGGTTACGTGTAGCCACCCGATCATAAACCCACCTACCGCTCGATCTCAGCCGCTCAATGGCGAAAGTACCTCTTGGCTGGTGCTTGTGTTGCGGGGGGAATCCTTTGAGATGCGTCGGCCAATCACTGTTGCCAACGCATCAATCACTCCGGATGGTAGAACGGTTTTGGAACCAATAGTGAGAATGTAACCAAATCCCTGCAAAGTACAGTGCTGTCGCGAACGCACAGTGTTCCACATAGGAGATAAATCAATTTAAAAAATACAACGAATCTTTACATAAAAGACTATGTTGCTAATGTTTTAATATGGGGTTGTGGTAAGGTAGTGGGTTTGTCTCATGTCACACACACAAAGAGCATCCATAAGTATTACTTCTGACAATTGTACTAAGCACTTTTAGGCTATGCCACAACGGTGACGCGCCAGCAGACGATATTCTAACACGACGATCAATAGTGCTAAACGAGAAACAGTTGTGGTATTGTTCTGGGTTGTCATAAATTCTGCATGGACCTTCAACAAGATGCCTAAAGGTAGTGGTATGAAGCACAAGCACAACGCACAAGCGGTGATGCGTTATCGACAGCCATGTTTAGACAGGGTGACGTTGCAGCGTTCAGGCCTATGTGTTGTGCGACATGGTGAATCTGTTGTGGTTTGATGTTGGATTGGGCTCCATTCTTGCACGGACATTCAACAAGGTGCTTAGAAGGAGTGGTATGAAGCACAGGCGCAACGCGCAAGCGGTGATGCGTTATTGACAGCCATGTTTAGACAGGGCAATGTTACAGCATTCAGGCATATGTGTTGCGCAACATGGTGAATCCGTAGTGATATGGTGTTGAATTGGGCTCCATTCTTGCACGGACATTCAACAAGGTGCTTAGAAGGAGTGGTATGAAGCACAAGCCCAACGCACAAGCGGTGATGCGTTATCGACAGAAATGTTTAGACAGGGCGACGTTGCAGCGTTCAGGCATATGTGTTGCGCGACATGGTGAATCCGTTGTGGTATGGTGTTGGATTGGGCTCCATTCTTGCACGGACATTCAACAAGGTGCTTGGAAGCAGTGGTATGAAGCACAGGCCCACGGCACAAGCGGTGATGCGTTATCGATAGCCATGTTTAGACAGGGTGACGTTGCAGCGTTCAGGCCTATGTGTTGCGCGACATGGTGAATCAGTTGTGGTTTGGTGTTGGATTGGGCTCCATTCTTGCACGGACATTCAACAAGGTGCTTAGAAGGAGTGGTATGAAGCACAGGCCCAACGCACAAGCGGTACATGCAACAATCATACATTAGGGCACGGAGTTCTTGGGTACTTCCCGTATGTTTCCGGACCACACTGGAGAACTTGGAGGATTTTTAAACATTACCGTTGTCTTGCACGGGCTGTTCTTGAGCAGGCCTTAAAGTATGATTGTTGAATAATTATCAATGACTTGAGTCTCTAGTTAAGCTGTACATTGTCATTACCTGGTTTGGATTAAGGCTCTAGAGGTGCGCACCACTTTGGGCTCACCTATGTGATTGCGATTTCCCCCCTATAGCGATTCTCGAAAGATTCATAGCACCAAACGGATCTCATCGCGCTCTTCCTCATCCCCCTCGACTCTCACGCACGGTTCAAAAACCCGAGTATTTAAATCAAGAAGCACGTACTTCTCACCGTGCTCGTGACGCACACACACGACCAACCGTCTTAAAGTCTAGTGCATATGCCTCTGCTCATGACGTGGTCACTCTTAATGGGGGCGACACGCCTTGTAGGAAAGGAGAATGCCATGCTGTGGGCGGTCTGTATCGTGCCGTGTCACTGCCGTGCTGCTCGACCATCGTTAGCCAGTCCCTAACATTAGCGCCACGCTCAAGTGCCAGTCGTGCAGTGATACAAGCCGCCATGGACCGTTTGTGCTTTGGCGATGACCGTGTTGTAGTCACAGCCTTCTTTGACGGTGTACTTAATGCACTCACAAGATTCAAACATGCTAGTTTCTTCATAGGCCATTTCTCGACTCTTAGACGGATCCGTAACACATGGGCTCTTTGCCAGGCGTTGTCTGCGAGTTCTGCAACAGATGGTTCCCCAACGCTTAAGTTTATGGCGGTCATAAGTCACGGCGGACCCCTTGTCAAGGGCTTTCTGCCGTGGCAAGGCCCTCGCGATCTGCACCGTTCGCCGGTCTACACGCTCTGCTATTCGTCCACAACATTCTGTCGGACGCTCCAGATGCTCCCGCGTCATCTACAGTGCCTAACGCATCCAACTCCATCAGTGCGAGCGGTCCTCCTCGCGTGCCTGAAGATCACGTTGACAAAACTCCCTCGGCTGTGAACGAGGGGGCTCCTGAAGATGAACATCAACCACCACCAGGAACACCTGCAGCTGACACGAGTGACCATCCTGAGAGCCGCCTTGAAGGGAGTCATGCCGCACTGCCGACGATCATCTCCAGACAGAGCAATGCCACGCCCCTCAATCCGCTCGCGTTGAAGCTGCTGCATTTCGTTCGGCGCGTGAATGGCGGAATGGGAATGGCGGAGGTTGACATCAACGGCCTACTTCAGCTCGTGTTAGAGCCCGGCCTTGCTCCTCTTGTGACCTCGGAGCTCCAGAACTGTAAGGATCTGGAGCAGTTCGAGATGGAGCGCTTGGCAGGGCTCACTCGCGGATGGTCTGTGGCGACCTTCGAAATTGCCGGTCATCCACCACAGCGCTTGCTCTTCCAAAACTCAGCTTAGGTAAGAAGACTCTAAATTCTTGACTGTGAAATGCTGATGAGACAAACAGGGTTTGCGTGTATAAAGTTATCCTTATATTAACCGTACACCCACCTTCACCGCCACTAACCATGCCCTCCTATCACCTGCCTTCGCCACCGTACACCAGGCATTCGCTGAAATGTTTGGGCATCCCAACAACGCGCCCGGCTTCAAGCTCAACGCGCGTATTGATGAGGACCCTGACACAGGCGACCGTCGCTATACAGGATCGTGGTGACCCTGACACAGGCGACCATCGCTATACAGGATCCTGAAACAGGAACGTCGTGGAATGATGCTCAGGGAACCACGTTGCCACCCCAAACCCAATCCTTGCTCATGCCTCCATCGCTGCACTGATGTGTCTGGAGCATCTTGAGTGTTTGACCGTGTGTCTGTTGCCGCTTTGTCGTGCATTGCAGGAACACTTCGGATGTGACGCACATGAGCAACAACGGCCGGAAGAAGGCGTGGCCGCTCATGATGACGCTGGCCAATATTTCCCGGGCCAAGCGATGGGGGAAAGCCGGGCACACACTACTTGCCCTCCTTCCTATCCTCCCGTCTGCAATGTCTGCCGTGGAGAAGGTGATGCTCTTTTAGCAATGCGTCATCACCGTGCTGTAGCCGCTTCTTGATGGCATGGAAAGGTAAGTACTTGGTTTGCATCTTGCTATGTCATTACCCAATCACCTGCATAGTAAGCAAAGCGTCTCTGTATGTAGCATGCCCCTTTGCCCCTCTTCGTTCCTACTAAAACCTGTCCTCCGAGTTCTTGTTGCCACTCTACCTGTTCCTTGCAGCGGGTTCCGTCTCAGGGACCCTTTCGGTGATTGGCAAACCGTGCGGCCTCTGCTGTATGCCTGGGTGTGCAACTACCCCGAGAGCGGCAAGATCAGTTGCACATTCTCGCATGGATCCTGGATGCCGTGCAGCATCTGCTATGCTGCAAAGGTGAGGTTACATGCCATGTGCGTGCCTTCAAATACATTGTCGTTAAGGTCGCCTAATAGAACCCATATAGTTACCACCCTTACCTTTGTATCCCATCCCTCACCCCCGTGCTACATCAGGAACACGCCGCGCACGCCTGAACAGCAGCAATGGATTGTTACCGAGGCGGCTGGGACAACAACTAGTCAGGACAACCCGTGCAAGACCTACTCTACCTACCCTGTTGAGGTGAGTGACATGTTTCCGCGGAACTGTGTAGTCTATGCACTCCAAAACCCTTAGGAAGTGTCAGATGTGCTCTGCCCCATTGAACTCACATGTGGTTTACGTTAGCTATCCAGTCTCACAAGTACATTTCTCCTTCATTCCAAACAACATCCCCATTTCCAGTGCGTGCTCTGGAAGTGGGATGTCACAGGGACCACGTGGGGCAATCCCTACCTCGTTGTCATGCCTGACATCATGCACCAGGCGGACCTGGGCATCATGAGCCACATTGTGGCTATCGTGCGCAAGATGAAGAAGCGGCGTGTGAAGCAGATGGATAGGTCAGTGTTTGGGGGTTGGATTCGTTGCTCTTGGTCACGTCAACTGCAAAGCTTAAGTACTGTGCTCTTACTGACATGTTTCTGCCCTTGTGCCACCGTTAAACTGGTGTGTATGAGCAGGCGTCTGTCACTCATCCGCGACCGCACGCACTTGAATCACATGCCGGAGAGCGCCTACTTTGAGACCGGAGCATGTGTCGCGGCCTAAGAGCACAGGGTCGTCATGCAGGTATGAAAGCCTTGCATGTTATCATCTTGTGCGATAGGCTGCACACGATACACACAGCATGTTGAATCCATGTTACAACACACACCCTGCTGCCTGCCCCCTCCTCCATTCCCTCTTGCTTGTCCCGACCGCCCCTCAACCAGTCTGCTC